TGTTGGCGGTCCGTGTTCACCCTGATGAATTCAATGACCCTGATGACCCGATGGAGAAGGAATGGATTGACGAACTCAAGGGCATGGGAATCTCCAAAGGAAGACTCCACTATAGCGATGGATGGTGCTTTCCCGTGGCCGTAAGAGCAACCTCAGCACACTCATCGGACGGCGGAGGTTATGACGTTACCATCAACATCGACCACATTGGATCGAGAATGACCAACGACATGGCCCTATCCATGGTGACTGCATTTCACGCTACCAATCTTGGAGCGCTGACTTCAATCATGCGACGGGGGCTAGTGCCAGGAGGTCTCGGTTCATCGGGAAGGGATTCTATCCACTTCACATGTTTTCCGCCATGGGCCTGGGAGCAGGGCTACAAGGGAAAACCTTGGCTGGGTCGTAAGGTCGCATTGAGTGATCGCCCAGTGGTTCTCTACATTCCGGTGTGGAAGCTGCAGGAGTACGGGCTTCTCATCTCAGCGACTGGATCTCTATTGGTTGAGGACGTCGTTCCCTTCGATGAGGTTAAAGGGGCATGGTTGCAATGCGACAATGCAGAACCCGGACAGCCTGAGGAGATCGAATGGATCAGGTTACTCAATAGAGAACCCGACCCTGGAAGCTACCTTGTTCTGGAGTCCAAATACGGAAACCCGATCATGACTCCACGCTATCAAAAGCTTGAGAGTTTGGCGGTTGAGGTCCAGGACGATACCTATTCCGAGGACGACGCCAAAATCTCAAAGCTGTTGGGCATGATCGAGGAGAGTGGTATCTACCCAGAATATGATAGCACTGAGTGGCAGGAAATCTTTGAGGAGATCGTATACCGCCGAGCAATGAAAGACTACGACTCAAGACCGTGTCCTAACTGTCTTGGCGAAGTCGATGTGCGATTGACGATATGTCCGCACTGCGTAGCGGTTTTGATCGCGAATGGGAAGCTCACGCATGTGGTACCCAAGGAGACAAGGGACCGCAATCAACGATCACCTCCGAGAGATGTCCCAGCCAGTTCTTCCGGTGAAGCAACTTCTGCTGCAGGTGCAAACATCGATGAAGTCATCAAGAATGCACGCAAGACAGCCGAAGAAGTCATTGACGTCGAGGAATCCGAAGGAGAGGAAGACGAGGAAGTTCCTATCATTTTGAAGGAACGACCGGACGAAGCTGAAGGCGAACCCGAATATCGGGAGGTCCCTCAAGATGGATATAGAATGAACTTCCACAGCCTTTCCCCTTCGCAATTGACGAATTGCCACAAGAAGCTGCGATCCCCATCGACCACAACTTTGCAGTCACACAGCAATTTGATCTGAGGTTGATGAAGTTGATCAAGAGCTTGGCCAACGCAACGTTCGACATCAATTGCTTTGAGAGTCGTGAAGACGTACTGCGAAAGTTCGACGATGGACAGCGGCATGACACTCCATACAACAGATGGCCAATAGTACCGAATGATCCGGATACTGGGTTTCCAAGACGCCTTCAGAGAGCCGAGGTCGTAGGCATGAGCAAATGGACCAACGACACGTATGCAACAGAAGCAATCCACATTCTCGAGAGATGGTTCTTTCGTGAAACTTGGGTTGTGGATATGCAGTTGCATCAAAGCACTTGGACTCAGCTTGGGTGAGCGATGGATTTGCTGACCCACAAAGCATTCAGATTGGGTGAGCAATGGGTCTGCTGGACCACACAGCATTCAGATTGGGAGCAATGGATCTGCTGGGCCACAGAGCGTTCGATCTCTGCTGGCCCAAAGAGCAAACATCAGTTGCGTCCTACATAGAAAAATTAAGAGCGCTGCGCCTGCTACGAAATCAGCTTCGCCATCATGACATCAGACATGATTTCCAGATCTAATCACCTGGTGGGATCTTGGTTTCAACATACCGGCCGGTGGGCTCAGCTAAAGAGGACCGTGGCTGCAACACAAAGTTTAAAGATGCTATATTCCTGGTTTTCATTTTGAAACTTCCTCGAAATTTCCTTCACCAGCATGTGTTTAAATATCTTAAACTATAATATTCAATATGTTTTATTCCAACCACTGTTTGCTGTCTGTGTTCGAACGTTTAGTCGTAAACACTCACACCGACACCAATTGAACCCTTCCTTTAAGAAATCAACTCGCACTGTGAGTTCATTCAGTCTGGGCTTTGCACATCGAAAAGATTGCAAAGAACTGTCCGGCCGTTTGTCCTTTTTCGCCAACTGTTGCAAAAAAGCATTGGGCCAGGAAGTCTCTCTTGATCTTCCCAAATGGCTGGGTCCCGCAATTGGTGCAAACGCACAAAAATTGTATAGTGGTGTTCATCAAGTCCACACCACATAAAGACTACTTGCACCAAAATCCGCTCATTGTCAAATCACTCAAAAATGATCTTGTCCACATCGAAGCCCTTGCCAGATTCTTTGGCCTTCGTGTACGATGGGTAGATCGTCTGCGAGGGGTGGTGCACGATCTTCCTCCAAGTTTTCCCTTTCAAGTTGCCGCTCTGGCGTGTCCATTCGAAGACCTGCCGGACTAGACTGACTAAAGCAAAAGGTTGCGGGCGTGATTCAACATCATAGAAGAGATCACAGAAACAGCAATTCCTAACCTAACAGAATTTGCAGCATTGAACAAAGCTAACCTAACCCACAAACAGAACACTAGCCTCCCAATCACCCGTGGCATCTTTAAAGGATCTCTCGGCGTCGGGGTACCAACCGGCAGCGGAATCAGGACCAGTGGAGGCACTAGGTTCTTTGGCTTGCTCAGGTTTGGAGTGCGCTGGTGCTTCCTTTTTTTGTTTTTTCTCTGGTGCTTTGCTGACAGCATGAGAAGCAGCAGGCCTTTTCATGCAAGTTTTCAGCATTGCAGCTGGTCGTCTTTTAATTTCTGGCTGTTCTTGCTCTGCAATTTCTTCTTCCGGTTCAATGTCGCTTTCTTGGAAGAGTGTCTGCAAAGAATCGTCCATGAACTGCTCGGGCTGCAAGGGCGCCGAAGTACTGCCTTGGGGGAGTTGCTCCGTGGGAGGGGCAATTTCACCCTCGAAGGACTTTGTGTTCGCAAACTCGTCTGGCAATAGTGCTGGTAGGGAAGGCGAAGGGTTCTGTCTGACATGTTCAGGCGGTGTGTTCAACAAACTATTCGAACTTTGCGTTGAGAAGCCACCACTGTCTGCTTTCAACCTGTCCGTAGTTGAAGGCGAGTAGAGCGCTGCTGAATCTAAAGCACTGTCGCGAGCCCAATGCTGAGCCATTCGGCGCAGCGCCGCGTCACGAATTGCAGCAGCATCGCGGCTCATTTCCATAGCTACGCGAAACCAACAAACACCTTCGACTACTAGTACTAGCGCTACTAGCAGTTGCTGAATATGCGCGGTTGCAGAAAAACATTCAGGGCTCATAGGTCCACACGTCAGCAAAACCCCGGTGCACATTGTGTGAACATAAACTTGTACGCGTTAATGCATGTGCGAATGTAAGAAAGCATGAGGCAATAACAATAAATGAATGAAGGCCTGAATGCAATGCATGAGTGTGTCACACATGCTCTGTCTTTGTTTCTTTCTTCTGATGATTCTCCTTTCTCTCTCCCTTTCTCTCTCTCTCTGTCTCTTTTTCTCTCTCTCTCTCTCTCTCTGTCTCGCTCACTCTGGGCAATTGCTTAAATGTGTCACAAACTTTCTGTCTTTGTTTCTTTCTTCTGGTGTCTCTCCTTTAACTTGACTTTCCCTCTCTCTCTCTCTCACTCGTTTTCTCTCACTCGTTCTCTCTCTCTCTCTATCTGTCACTCTCTCTGTCTCGCTCCTCGGTTCTGGCAAATGATGGATGAATTATTGAATATTGGCTGACAAGTGATGGGCTCTGGACAGATCGATCGGCTCGAACGAAAAAAGGATGGATCGATAGTTATTTGGATAGCTTTTTGGGCAAACTCTCAATGCGCCTGACCTCCATGAAGAAAACAACAACATCTCACAATATCAAAACGAGATACGTGTATATAAGCTCCTTCAAAACCACACTGTGTGTGTGTGTGCGAAACTCTCTCTCAAAGCGACAGAAGCACCGTTTCACATAGTTGCCCGATACACAAACACAACAATTGAACAATCAAGCGCTTTCGTTTGTTTCGTCATTTGGGTTTCGCAAGCAAGTCAAGACTGGAAACTAGCCCCAGGGATCTAATTTCCGATCCTTTGCTTTTCAGGACACTTAATTAATGCCAAACAAAACCTTCAAGGCGTTGTAGTCTTGCTCATACGTATCTGGATATTTGCCCGGGCCAAACGGCTCAGGAAACAGGATGGGCCCTGGCTCTCGCGCCACAATCACTGGATGGCCACATTGAAGCGCCGCCCTCACGGATAGGGATATCTCACCAGGGCGGTAAACCAACGGCCACTGCGGGAGGAACAAAGGACCATCTTCCCAAACAGTTTCCAAGTCGATGGGTTCCGCTTCAGATTCAAGGGAATCTGGTCCCCAAACAAACTCACCGATGTGCTCTTTCATGCGGCGCAATTTGGGCGTGCACTTCTTGGATCTTCTCTTCAGCCACAGGCGGTGTTTGGCTCTCCATGGGACAAATCGAGGTTGGCGTGCCATGACCTTTGGTAAGTAGAAATTGGCCAACCTTGCTCCCTTACTCTTAAACTCTTGAACTCAAAACGGTCAAGACAAGCGCAAAGCGTTGAACACAGAATTGGCAAGAAACTGAGCTCGAAGTCTGCTGTGAGGCTACCTAGCTCAAAAAACAGTGAACTAGGCATCCGATGCGTCTAATGTTTGCTTTCTTTTTTTCAAGCCCCAAGGTCTTGAGTCTTTCGCTCGTACCCCGTCACATGATAGGTGGCTCAAACTCCTTTCCCAACAACTGCTAAACGACACATTGAAATGTCTGCAATCGCAAATATGGGTTCCGGCTATAAGCAAATGCGCTAAGTGCATAGTTACGCTGTGATATGGAAAGAAAGCCACGGCATGTGACACCAAGACTAGGCGATCTCTACCGGCTCCTTGGCCTTGAGGCTAAGAGCCTTGGATGTCAGCACGTATGGTTTCTGAATTTTCAGGCAGGCGTGTACCCGCTCGAACCTCCACCGAAATACGCCTCGCACACACTTGGAGCTGCTAACTGCCGCCACGCTCTGGCTGAAGAAGTTTTTCATCGTGGCAGACTTAGTGGTGTCTGCCATACACTGGTACTGCATCCGATCCTTGAACGTCACCTTGAATGAATCGGGAGAGCTGGAAGTGGAGTCTGTGACGCGAGTGACCTCGGTATAGGACAGCTTGTGGGATGCCACCTTCTTGACGGATTCCAAGTGCACAAGAAGTTTGTACAGTGTAAGGCATTCAACCTGAGTCGACTCGGCGTTGATGGATGACATGTCCATGAGACACTGTGTGCGGTCTCCCTCTGGCCACACGAGTTCCACTCCGCTCTGGCCATCCGCACAAGCCACATACCTTGAATTTGGCATTTGAAACAAGCCTTTCAAATGTTGGATACAAAACCGAGCGCGCAGTACAAAACGACCACAACATGTAACCCGGTAACTCATCACGAACAATGACGTAAACATAGATCTGGTCCCCAATCTAACCTGTCACCCACTATGTCCCCCCTTCTTGCGGCATACCTTCGTACATACCAGAACAAAAAGAACAATGATGCCTCCATTGATAACAAGATACTTTCCTGTTCCGTATCCTCCAAGCAAAGTCCACTTGGCAAGAACCCGCTCTTTCTGCGAAATCAAGTACAATTTTCCCGACTTGGTCCGAATGAGCTCAATGCCACTGACCTCTGATTGACAGCGGGACAGGATGGGGTCAACCTCAGCGAGCTTCTGCTCAGAAGAAAAGGTCACAGGTCCAGGTGCATCCTCACCAGAATCTGTAGGACCAGGAGCATCAGGAGTGGCACCACCGTCAACATCACCATCATCTGCCACTGGCTGGGGGGGGGTTCGCTCCCGAAGCTCCGCCCTGAGAAGAGATCGCATCTTTCAGCATGCGCATGTAGCGGGCATCGTGGTCAGCTTTCAACGTAGCAAACTTCTCGCCAAACTCACTTCCGGCATTTGTCCACTGTCGTACTTGGTCCGGGTGTACAACAATTGTCGTACCTTGGCGAACGCACGCTTTGAGACCCATTGCATCGATTGCGTAGATATACTCTGCTCCGGGGATGCTTTTGATCTCCTGCCAACCAATCAACAAGGGGGAAGCAAGTCAAAACAAGAAGAAAGCTGAAACAACTGACCCACAGCACACTTCATTCATAGTTGTTTGCGCGTTCGAACTCTCTTAATCTTTGACTTTTTAAAATTCTGTCCACAGAACAGGTTTGGCTACCAGTCCTGGTCGCTCAAAGTGATCTCAGTGTCATCGTACCGGCGCCCCTCAACTTCAAGGCGCTTCGAAAGCCACGCGTCCAGCAATTCCCGCGCCACTCGGCGACGAGCATACTCGTTGCCACTTGCTGTGTCCAGCGTGTGGACAGACAAATACCACATATCTGCAAAGCTGAAGCCGAGCTCCCCAGACACACTGCCTTTCGTGCGAAGATTCAGTACCTCAAGCAATTTTGATTCCCACAAAACCCATTCAAGCTCAAAGAAAGAAAGAACAAATGCGAGAAGAAACTAACTTTCTTCGGCGCACGCAGCATTGTGTCTGACATTAAAACAAACACGCTGAAGCCCCAGAAATAGAAAGATGCCCGAAACCAACAAAAATTGGTGACCGCCACAAGAATGCAAGCGAAGCACAGCAAGAGCCAGTTCCTCCACATACCCAGTCCAGTTTACCACCAGCACAGGGCCCTTCAAAGGAGTGTACTTAATCAAGCTCTCCAGGAGGAGCTGTAGCCGAGACGCTCCCTCCTGTGCGCTTTGCTGCTCAGGAGAGGGACGGGACCTCTCTGACAAGCGAAGGTCAGACTCCGGCGAGGCAGACTCTGGCAGGAGGAGGCTTGAAGCTTTGGGCAGCACTGATGTAGGTGCCCCAACAACTCCTTCGTTTGCGGAAACCGGGCGCCCACAGACTGCCAACTCGCTCTGAAGCCACTGGTTGGATTCGATGGTGTCACCGTTGACCACTATGCGTCCACTGCTGAACCTTCGGACATTGCTCCTGCCTTCAACATGTTTTTCCCTCGTGAGCAAGTCGATCCAACGCGTTTCAACGTGTTGACGAAGCCCGAAGCATGCCTCTAGAATGCCCTTTTCTTCGTCAAAAAGTCCACGCAAACAGCTGTCTCTGGCATGGTCCGGAAGGCACATCAGGGTGCAATTCAAAGCAGGATTCCCAGTGTCGTTCACAATCGACATTGCCTGGGTGAGCGCCTGGACTGCCTTGCCACCCCTAGCGCCGGGGACATTGAAGTCAATGAAGCCAACCGTGGAAACCATATCCAATCCAACTCCACTGTCTTCCGCCTCTAGCAAAAGTTGACTAGGTGGAAAACTGGAAAATTAAAACCGTGTTCAAATCCGGAATCAACAAACACATGGGGAAACAAATGTCAAAGTGGGTTCTGGTTCCACAACCAGTTGCGATCTGAAGCTTGATCTTGCTGATCTCGGATTTTGCAAGCTGCACAGAGTCACATGCCATTACTCGCAAGTACTTGTCCTCCAACAGGGTTTGCCTGGTTTCCCTCAGCCTTACTTGGATTTTTGCACACATCCAAAAGCTTTGACACCTTTACTATGTACAATGCACCATTCGGTCGAAAACTACTAAAACACCTTTGGATAGGTAGGTGTTCGCAACCGAGTCCTGGTAGTTGGAACAGGCAGATTCAGCAGCCGCAATCAATTTGGAGCGGTGGGCGACTTGCTTCACATGGAGCTTCTGCTTCACCGCGGCGGGGGCTTTCTGAACGGTCTCCATGAGCGTGTGATCTTGCTCCAAAGCAGTGCAAAAGTATCGGAACTGGGCAGCAACCACTTCCTGCCTTTGAGTCTCAACCAGCTCTGTTTTCTTCCGCTCAGTCTCCTGCAAATCATCTTTCGCTTTGTCCTGGTGTGACAAAAGCATCGACATGGAGAAGGTCTGGGGACGGCGATGTATCAAATGAAGCAAATCTTCATCTCGGCCCAGACCACTTTCCACATCAGAGATCCACTGGCCAAACTCCTCTGGAGTCGTTCTCGACTGAATGTTCCCAGAAATCTGGGAAAACAAAGCGACCAAGTTCCTCATCCGAAGCAACTCTTCCGTTGTCAACCTGTACTTTTTTTCAAATGGGTTGGCACCATTCCGGTCACGCGATCGAAAGTCTTCCGCACCCTTGTGAACAGCAACCTCTGGCCCTCTGCGCTCAATGGAAGGGTCCAGTCCAGCGTGATGAACGACTCGTGGGGAAGTGGCTGGGGGCTGATGGTGTCCATCTCCGGGTCCAAGGGGTCCAATTTCGCCACACTGCCAATGAACATGCCCGGCATGGAGCAAAACCCTTCTCCATAGGGGCCCTGGTTGAAGGGTAGATCGTGTGTGGAACTGATCATCTGACCGAATGCTTCAGGGCTTGTGGATTGAAGCAGGTGCTTGACCGCCTTCCCGGGCAAGGCGAACAAGTTTAGTTCAATATGGGTCAACTAGTACAAAACAACAAAAATTTAGGAACATATAATATACGCATACAAGAATCACTTTGGTTTGATTATTTTCAGCCACCGTCAATCTTGCCTGCTTCTTGCGGTTGTCGAGGGAAATAGGTCCGGCTCCGCCAGATGCTTCGAGAGCAACTACTTCTGGGTGAGAGTTGTACCGCAGCATAGCACTTTCATAGGTGTTTGCAACTCCATCACTCAGTTGGCGCAAAATGGCGCACCATGCCAGTGAGCTCACTGGTTGTACTCGGGCGTCGATGTTCTGCTTTACGATTCGTGCCACAGCGGAATCAACATCATCTGCATAGCTCCCTGAACTACCCTTCAGGACCGTCCTGATCCGAAGAAGTGAGCTAGCAAAAGCCTGAAGACTTGGACTGTCCCCAAGTTTGCCCTCGTTGTGGCTCAGCTTTGAAGCGATGCACAAGCAGATCCACACGATGAATCCACCAAGGGTCTTCTGGGATCCATCATTGAAGTACAAACTGCCAAGCGCCAGGTTCACCGGCTTCAATGTCCCGCAAGGCAAGCGAAGTGTCACGGTCTCTCCCTGCCATGATTTCAAACAAGCGCGCGCATCCATTACTATTAACTGACTTTCCTCCAAACCAACCCATTCAATTTGGGCTACGGGTTCTTTTCAAGCCCATGATACAATGTGGGCCTGCTTTCACAGCCCGGGAAAAGCAACAGAGTTGTGAAAGAAAAAGGAGGAGATTGCCTGTCACTGTGTGCCTTGTGTCTCTCAACCTCACCGGGAATGAACTAACATTTTCGATGTATCAACAAGGGCGCGGGAAATGCAGACATCTAGAAAACACTCCAACACACCTTGAAAAAGGATTTGTTTTTTCTTGAAAAGCACAAATGAAGCCAAATGAAGCCACGTAACAACACCGGTCTGGTGCTTCTCAAGTACTTGTGGGGCCCGGGAACTTGAAGGACCTGGCTTACGTAATATGGCCCGGGTTAGGTTCTTTTGGGTCCGGGAACTTGAAGGAATGGGATGTAATTCCTGGAAAGTCAAAATCTATCCATGTTGGCTCATGGCCCAAACACCAAATCATGGAGAGCTACTCGCTGAGTAGCTATCCATGACTAGACATGCACATATGCAAGGGAATTTCCGGGCCCTTGCCCAAAACTTTGGCACGTGAGATCCGGCTCTCCATGACCCCAGGATCATGGAGAGCTACTCGCTGAGTAGCTCTCCATGATTCCATTGAATCTGACCCCCACATCCCGGATAGTCTATGGTAACTTACGCTGCCGCACCTAAAATGCCACAACGTTTAGGGTTTAGGGTTTTCCCGGGCTAAGATTCTTAGTTGAAAATTCTCTTATGCTCGATTCGTGATTTTCCGGAATGATTGGTTTTGGATTTTCTCGGCGTGATTTGTGGTTAGTGTTTTCTTTTCTGATTTTTCCGGTGTGACTTCCCCTGCCCTGACAATTCCAAAAAGCCAAAAACTTATTTCCCGAAGCCTGCTATTCTTGAAACAGGATCACCTACTACCCAGCGCCAAATGCAAACAGCGTAAAGTCATCACTTCAGAAACCCCGCCTCTCTGAAGCGGCTGGACGCAATCGAATGGGCAAAGTTCACAACCTCGCTCATGGCCACGGATGGCCCACGCCAAAATGCATGATCCGAGTACGACCAAGAGAGCACTGATGTCTGGAAGCTCTCGGATTTCTCAGGTGGCCATACCTCGCGAAGAGCTGGTCAGATGCTGTCGTGAATGTTTCGGGAACGAGGTAACATCACAACAAAAGAAGTCCTGGCAACCTTCTCAAAATAAGGACCCTTCCATTTCAGTGGGCATATAAATGTCTTTGGGCGAGATGCATCGATTTTGCAAAACTGCTGCAAAAACTCAGCATCATCTTGGACATCAAGAAGACCGAGGTGGAAGCAAAGCTCTGTGGAGATGTTCACAAGTAAGTCAGTGTCCTTCATAGCACGTTCGGCAATTTCTTTGAACGTGCCACCGTGTAAAACGGGCCACGGAAACAGCCCATTCCCCTCAAGTGGTAGGATGCCACGAGGCTCTGAGTAGACGTCAGTCTCTGTGGCGTGCCTCAATGAGTACAGGTCCTCAACAAGCGTTGCGCAATCTCGCTGAACTTGGTGCAGCGCATCAACAGATGTGGCATTGACGGGCGTTGCTGCCCCGGCTGCGAAAGACTGCGCCAGCGCTGCCCCGCGCTGTTTCTTTCTCGGCGGCATTGGTATGGGCTCAACAAAGGGCGCGGGCCCAAGGCAAAAAGGACTTCGAAACAAACATTCCACATGCCAATCTAACTCAGTACGTTCAAAACAACTTACATCTCACGCTTTGCAAACGCATACATACCAAATGCTTTGCACACGTTTCCCCCTTGACACACGCTCACACTCACAGCTGCAGCTGGTGCAAATTGCTAATTTAGCATCTCAAAGCATCACTTGCTGTAACGCAAGCAACCTTCTTCCGGATTGAAACAAACTAGATCCCTGGTGCGCGCAAACCAATTGCACTGGGCAAGAAGGTCATGCCGCCATGAGAACAGCAGCATCTTACTGAGGGTCACAAAGTGAGCCACCATGCCACGCGATCAGCGATCCAATCACAAAAGCGCTGCACACAGGTGCGCTAAACCTCAAAAAGACAATCTATTTACCTCAAGCATTGAACGATGTTTGAACAATTTTGAACATGGCCTCAGTGGAATTTGTTGGTTCGCAACCTGAGGACAGAACGCATTCCCTGCCATGTTGCTGAGCTGGCTTGCTGTCAGGTTCTTCATCGAATACCGGTCGAACTCAGAGCGGCCTACTCCTTGGAGCCGCGCTTTCTCCTGCCCCATATTTCTCCGCAGGAGCACACACTATCAAAAGCTAACTATATATATATACATATATATGTGTCGAAATAGTCTATCTATCTCTCTTTATATACCGCCGAACAATATCGAACACCTATGTTGCTCAAACCAAAACCTCACACCTAAAAGTGCACGAACAGGTTCGGGCAACAAATCGGTGCAATCAGGAAAATAATGTCCGTCCTGACTGGTCAAAATGGTAAAGCGGCCAGTGATGACATACTTGCCATTCGGCAAGAGACATGGGCACAGCCGGGGATTGGTCCGGCTGTAGGTGCTGCGGCAAAAATTCTGGTCCTCGAAGGCGGCAGGGTGCGAGGCGCAAACACTATTGAATTTGGGTTCAAATTCAAAAGGTTGCATGGAAGTTCTTTTTTTGAGCATATGGTCACGCAAAAGGTGGAAAATTTGATACAAACAACACCCTAGGGTCGACCTGGATAACGTATGTCTCCGAGAACGGACACTTCCCCATATTCTGCAACTCCGTCACCGCGACCGACAGGATCGCCAATTCCCTCTCCGTCAAACTCAGCTGGAATCCACGGATTCTCGAGCGATTGGGTTCAACATCCGCCTCAGTCCATGGTTAACACGGTTGCTATTAAAATACCGTGTTCTCTCAGCAGTTGAGCCGGCCCTCAATTGTTTTGGATTATGAAACTTGAGCCAGGTTTTGTTTCCCGTTTTGTGGGTAGACCTTTGCTTGAAATCGCAAACATGTTTTGGCATTGAATCCCAGTTGCACCATTGTTCATAGATTGGCAAATCTTTTTGAAGCCCTTGCTCCACTTGAGCTTCAAATCGCTCCTCTTCCTCTTAGCCGGGTCTGCTCTCACGCGCCCACGGGCAACATCGCTGGTACCAGGAGGGAGGAGAAAATTCTCGATATCGTAGCTCTTGCACTTGAACAACTTGACAATGTCCAAGGGGTTGCTCTGAGGCCTGGTGCCAAAACGGAAAAACCGCACGCGCAAATGATTCGACATTTCACAATCGGTCCAGCTTTTAACATGATTCCTGGTGCTCACAAGGCTCGAAAGTTCACAGCCTACTCCGCAATACGCAAACATTTATCATACATATATATATAATAACAATAATAAGGTTGCAGCTTGGGTACGTGCCACTCGGCTCAGGCTCCAACTTCTTCTTGTAGTACACCGCCCACACCCGAGACCGCTGCTGCGCCAGTCCGAAGTGGCTGGAGCAAAGGAGTTCGTGAAACGCGGCGTACCCCCTGCGCTCAAAAGCCTCCCCCTGAATTTGTATTGGAACTTCATTTTCAAATCGCTTCCTGCTGTGCTGCATTGCAGCTACGTTTTCAGCGCAAAGGATAGTCGGACGAGCGTAGTCAACGAAGCGCATCATACTCTGGTACCCTCTGCCGGAAGTGCTGCTCTCATCCCTGAAGGACTTGGCAGAATGATTCTGCATAGAGAGCGATTTGCATGGGTACCCCACCAAGCAAAGTTGCACCTCGCACAAGGGAAGAATCTCAAGTCCACATCTAAAAGTGAAACTCCCAGCAATAACAAACGAACGGGTCGCGCAATAAAGAACAGAACGCATTGCTTTTGTTGACGGTCCTTGGGAACATGCTTGTACTCTCCGCTTCTGTAGTCTCGGGCCCAACCACTTCCCAACTCAGTCATGTCCGCGAACAAGAGTGGCTCACCAAACGCGTTTGCCAAATACTTCTGCTTGAAGGGTTCGTTCTCGCAAAGGAACTTTACCACGAACTGGCAGGGGAGCGGACACTGAGAAACAAATGAGGGACACTGAGAAACAAATGGTGGGGGACCGGGTGGTGTCACCGGGATGGTGGGTGGATCTCGCGCCCAACCCAACCCAACCCAGGCTCGATTTTGTCACTAGTCCTCCAGCTCCAATGGGCCGGCGGCCCCATCGTCCTCCGATTCACCGTCACACTCAGAGCGGCTCGCAGGCAAACAATGAATGGTCCTAAACCGATTTGGTTTTGACCATGTGCGTCCCATTCTGGGAGCATCGAGTCCTTGAATGCCATACCGTCTCAGATTCAAATAAGCAAAAGATGTGGGTCGGGGCACTTTTTGCAGCGTCCCATCCACCCATTGAGTGAGGTAAGCCAAGGCATCTGGGTGAATGCTCTTCTGCCTGCAGCATTGCGGTGCGTAGGTTTGGATGTTCTGGCGAACTTGCTCTCCAATTGCTCGTCTGTTTTGATTTCCAACTGGCTGCTGGAAAGCGTTCCTCAACTCAAGGCAAACTCTGGCAGGTACCAAGCAAATCACTCGAACGGGCTCCGGGTCTGCCATCCACTTCTTGATGAAAACCAAAACATCTGAACCGTGGGGCACATGGCCAGACAATTCTTCCACTTGACAACGGCCAAAGGAAGAAGGATCGCAGTCCATTCTCAAGCAGAACCGCAACTGACCAACGTGTCCTCGAAACAGTTGCATTGGATGAGCCAAATCACAAAAAAACATTAACACTATGACACCACAAAATAAACACTGCGAGTTTATCCAAGGCTCGCAGGCCCAATAAACGTATTCCCAAAACCTGTCCCCAGGCTTTCCACTCAGCCACTTCGTCCAGCTTCGAAGCTACCGCCCGAACTTTAACCGGTTTGGCTTTCTTTCGGTGAAGTTCTCCGCTCAAAGCTGGTCTAAAGGAAGAATCCATCAGCTCCACAACTTCTAGCGGTGTGCTAAACTCATGTCGGCTTATGATCGCGGCTTGCTGGGAGAAGATTTGGTCTAAATCTTCGTGGCCTCATATTTCATCTTTGGCAACTGGTATAAGGGGGAAACAAGAAAAACATGTTCTTGAACATCAAAGTCGCACCAAATCACAACTGAGCAACTGTGGCCAACTCGTAAATAGTTGACCACAACCCACCGGAAGGCACCCAAGGTTGGGAGCAAGCTTGCCCATGCCATGAAGAACTGGTTCTTCGACTCCCTTGTTGTGTTATCGCAATGAATGGATAGACCATGTGGGAGAGTACCGTGTCTGTTCAAAACATTGTCTATTGTCCTGCTGAGCGCTTCAACACTGCAACTTGAATTTTTCAAAACATCTGCGTCTGATACGTAGAAGGATATCATCTCCCCATGACACCAAACTGCACTGACGTGCAAGGAAGGACGCCAGAGCTTTGTAAAGGTCTTTGAAAAGCGACCTCGAATCCTTGGACATTTGTACTTCGCTTGGTCCATCCCGTCAGCCATGCAAGTCATGACTGACTGGGATATTGACAGAGTTGCCAACGCCTGCCTGCTTCCCATCTGAGCCATTGCCTCAAAAGCAGCCTGACTGAGTGATCTAAACGACCAATAAATTTGTCTGTCCAGCCATTGAGCGATGACATGGCGCTGATGGTCTCGCTGAGCTGAAGCTTTGGCCTCTGTAGTCTTTGCTGCGGCAATCTTTTGCCGGAGGGAATAACATTGATCACACTGAGCGTGATCCCCCTCCTTTCTGAATCTTAGATGCCCCTCGCGAGCCCCCGGTTTGAGGATGGGATTGCAAACTCGAAAAAACTGACTGTGGGATGCTGCACGCTCTCCCTTGCTTTCGCAATATGCGACATAATCCCAGTACAACTCCGTTCGACTAGTGTGGGGAAGGTAGCGGACAGCGCCCCTGAATGTCCCTGGCCCAATGCAGTTCACGTCTGGGTCACTTGTCATACTTTGCAAAGACAATGTGAAGCTATTCACCAGCCGAGGCAGCAAATCAGTGTCTTTGTCTTCTTTCTCAGGAAACGGAGACTCGGGCACTCTTTCACCTGGCACAGCGAAGCCAGTGGGCATCACTTCTGCAAAGCGATGGTATATATACCAAAACCACATCACCACGTTCTGCCACAGAGCTTGCTCTCCGCCCCTGATTGTGAACTTGAACATCGGGTGCCTGGGCAGGCGTGGCCTGGAGGAATTGGTGAACACTGCTTCGCCTCTACGAAGTTTCCCAAGCGTCGAGTTTCCGACTCCAATGAGACGGGCCAGTGCCCCTTTGCAGACTTCGGACCCTGCAAACATATAATGCTCAGGCCTCCTATCTGCATAGCGTGCACGCTTTGTAGCAGGAGGTGTGTCCGCGCACTGATCCACTTCAGAGTCCGAGCCAAAAACACACTCGCCTGATCCAGAAGTGGGGAAACATTCCTCTTCTTCATTTGAAGAATGGAAACACTCTGCTTCCTCCGGCGAAGATTCAAACAGCTCCTCTTCATCTTTGATGGGCTCGGTCGCACTACCATGATCAAAAACCGTAGTGCCACCTCCACAATTGAAAGCTTCAGACAACCACGCCTCCTGGACCAAGGTCGTGTGTTCCAGATTGTATTCCAACACCGGCGAAGTTAATTAACTAGAAATAAATAACGAAAAATCCCATCCTTCTTCGCATCAGGCAAAGCGTTGAATTCCTGCCGTTTTGCCTCAACTTCTTGGATGCGGTGAGCAAATTGTGAGAAGCACGTTCGCTTCAGGCAAATGCATTGCTGCCGAACCAGTTGGGTGAGATCCTTCTTTGGCGCCATGGCGCTCTTCACATTCAATCTCGAAACATTTCAGAAAATTCAATCCAAAAAGTTGAATCTAAGCCTCCGGAAATAAGCTGTGGACACAGTCTAGAATATTTCCAGGAAAAACATTTCGGTCTGCGGGCAGCATGTCCTGGTGGAGCCATTGTGGAAGCAGCGCGGCGTTCAATGAAACCTATGTAAATCCAGTGAACCCGGTCTCAACTCAAACCGTGGTCTCAACCACGGCGTTGCGCGTTGTATACCTACGGAAAACAATCTAATATCTAATGTGTATATATTCATACAATACATAAACCATAATATAAAAAATATATTAACATATGTATAATGTAGACATGCATATACCTAATATACCTACCGCGTTGCACGACCAACCCAACTGGGTGGGACCTGGCTTGATGGGGTCTGGGCCACCCAAATCCTTCCCTCCATTCCACTCAGACCGGCCTTGGGAACATTCGGACCACACAAGCGACCCAGGCTTAAGTTCAAGCAATCAATCACCATGTCACCAGTGCCCCACCCACTGCAAATGGAGCCCACGCTGATCTCCCCGTTGACAGCAAGGCCCTGCATCGCTTCCACCAATTGCTCACGGACACCTTCGTGCTTGACAAGAAAGGCGTGCAAAAGGTTGTCCACCTGCAGATGGCTGGGGCCCAATCTGGGAAGGAACATGCCGCATCATGCCACCACCGTTGTTTTAGAAAAACAGAGGACAATCTTAACACTCTAACACTTTGAATTTGTTCCCACAAACCCGGCCCCAATGCTTGATATGGTAGGCGGATCTGGCAAATCGCAGACGGGCACTTGACAATCCTCGATCTCGGAATCCTCGAACTGGCTTTCGTCACCATCATGATCATGACCAGGATCTTTTGCCTGTCCATCCGGCCTCCAGCGGCGCGCAATCAAACACCACTTCAATTTGCTAAGCAAGTTAAGCACAAACTTCACCAAACATCAAAACCGGTTACTGGTCAAATCCAAATGTCCCATCTGGTTCCGATTCTTCAAAAACGCTGTTCTCATCAGCGTCGCGATCCTGTCTCTCCCTTTCTGGCTGTGCAGCTGCCGGTCTCTTGCGCGCCGCAGGTTTTTTGGCTGCTGCTGGCCGCTTCATGGCTACAAAACACAAAGCGTTCCGTCTACCCAAATGAACTGCAAGGCCAGCGGCCACTTGATATTTCAGACCCTCAAAAAATCTAGTCGCTGTTTGAAAAAGGCCAATTCAGGCCAACTCGCATGAAGACGTTCGCAGCGGAACACAACTACCCAGCAAAGCTTGTTGTCTGTGCGCAAAAACAATTTTCAAGACAACCGTTCAGAAAATTAATCAGTGACCACCAACGCACATCATTCACCACACAATGGACATCCATACATCACCAAGCGCTCAACCCATACATCTACACATCCATTGTCAAATAACATCAAACAACAAAGGCATCCACGCATCCTCCACACATCTATCGCCACCAGCAGCCACAACCAGCGCCGGGTATTAGGCGCCATACATCCAGCATGCATTCCAGGAATCCAGCGAGAGAGCAGGTGTTCTTCTAAAATTATTGTAGCATGATCAAAGTGTAGCCGTCAACACACACACCCCGTCACAACCACAAAAAATATATGAAGAAACTTCCGAGTTAGGATGGCGCAGATGCGCTAGATCTCAAGGGCGGGGAAAAATATTCACAACTCAGCGGGGCTGCAATTTGCTCGATGGGCCAGCAGATCCTTTGCTCACCCAATCTGAATGCTATGTGGGCCAGCAGACCCATTGCTCACCCAATCTGAATGCTTTGTGGGCCAGCAAATCCATCGCTCACCCAAGCTGAGTCCAAGTGCTTTGATGCAACTGCATATCCACAACCCAAGTTTCACGAAAGAACCATCTCTCGAGAATGTGGATTAAGCGTGGCAGATCTATGAATTCCACGCCCACGTTATTCACCCGATGATGATCACTGCAATCCGCTGCGGGCTTAGCCACAAGTACCTCAAAGAGGTCGGCAGCACTCGGCGTAACATGAGTGATCCAAAGGCTCGAAGATCTGAGACCCAGGAAGAGATCATCGAGAAGCTGGCATTCATCTCAAATTTCATCAGACGCTTGATCAGGAAGACCTTTGGAGCGAGCCGGTATAGTTACTACCAGAAACCAGATGACGAAAGTGCCGCTCCATACAAATTCATCGACATTAGCCCCGCCATCAAATCGGAGCGGAAGAATGTCACAAAGGAGATCCTCGTTGCATGCCGCTACTATGGCATAGAGGTATCCGATATTCAAGCACAGAAATTGAAGCTCTTTGAGGAGCAGATCCGAAGGGGAAACCCAAGGAACGTTGAGCTCATCAAGGACTACATTGGTTTTGTCGGAGCTGACTACATGCGACAACTCACGAATGGTTGAGCATTGGGGTCATACCGACATACCACTTCCGGTACTTCAAGTACTGAGGGATCTTGGGTAATTCATGATGACCGTTTTGGCATCATGGGAGTGAGATAGGATTGTGTTTCACACCGTTGGTAATCGCATGATACCATAGGTAGATGCACGTTTTCCGTTTGCAGCTCCATTACCTGTTTGATCCAACTTTCAAGCGAATGCAAGATCGTTTGCTAATTCAGTTCAATAGGACATACTGGTTGACCTCCAATGCACTTTTGAGAACATGATTCGTTCTCCGGTTTTTACATCCACTCATCTCCCTTCCCCGTCGAAGTACGGATGTGGGGGGTGTCAATAGGGATGGGGTCCCAGTATAGTCGCTATACAGGTACATGCCATATACCATTCTGGCTCAAGTGCCCTACCAGGTGAAAAGGAGCTTTAGCGCGCGAGCTTCATGTTGAACTAAGGGCTAGAACGGGGCCAGGGCACACCTTTCCATCCGTTCGCATTTTCAAAGCTTTGTTGAAGTCTGGGCTGGACACCAAAAACGCTGTCCTCTCTTCCGAGATGGTCCAAGGCTTAGAAACAAACCAGATCCATATACCCAATCAACCTAAAACAATGTTTGCATCTGATGGTTCAATCATCAATCACAAAGTACGACTTTTGTGGGCCAAGACTTGGACACTCAATAATGATAATTATGTCCGCTCTCGGAATCTCTATTGAAGGGAATTTCCCGAAAGCTGGAACAGAAAACATTAAAAAGGATCCCCGTTGTCCTCTCAAGTGGCCTTTTTGACATCCTAATATATACAATACATAAATATTGGATATCTGATATTGGTTATGATGTTATTGTATGGTATGATACCTTATGATATATCGATATGTTTTCCACTGTCCGCAGCTGCATTTTCTCAGGGCGCCCCACAGGAACTTGTCCTGTCAGGAGGCGGGGAAAACATGAAAATGATCTCCCCAAAGGGGATGAAGGAGGACACACCTGGCCACACCTGAACGATATGATCAACTTGGATGAACATCAGGGTGATGCCCAGCAATGAAATCATGAACACTACGTACCTGGGTATATCAAAGGGTTTTGAAAGCACCGTGTTCGCATAGTTAAACGTGCTTCTTTTGTATAACCTTCCGCTGCACACACATTTTGAGGAGAAACCCTGGCCTGAATATTGATCAGTCACTCGTCTGAATCGTTGACAATCTTTGGCCAACCGAGGACTCATACATTTTTTTCAAACCAACCCTGTGGAATAACTGTGCATGGCAGTGCATGCATTTCTCTTGAGCTGTCAATGTTTTTGAGTCAAATTCGCATCTTTTGGCCAAACCGCCTGGCCAAAAAAAACGGGTCCCGTGGGGACTCTTCTCTCCGACCTCCGCACCAGCAGAAACCCGCTCGCCTCGTAGCGGTGTGGTACATCCGCAGGGAAACGCGGCCGCCGTTCCTGTGCAAATCGAAGGCACTTGTAGAGTTTTACACACCAAACCCAAATCTGGATTGCTTCCCCTTTAGATGTGCTTGAAAGAAACTGTTGCGGAACTTCGGGTGACTAGGGTATTTTCAAAGCACGCACAAACCAATGGGATTGGTGCCATTGACTCGAGTCACATCAAAGCATCTAGAAATTTACAGGACAAAAAAAAATCTGCGATTTCCCTGTGCGAACAAGTTGTCACTGGGACATGTGACAACTTGTTTGCTCATCATCAGGAATGATACGTAGCTGGCTTGTTGATTCCGGATTCTGACGTTCCTGGCAAAATCTGCTTTTGATACCCTTTCACGTGACATACTCGTGCGCTACGTAGATGGGTCAATATAGGTCCGGCACTAGGTCCGGCGCATTGATGGCCGTTGTTTTTCCTCATCTTTTAAAGTTAAAGACGTTTAAACTCTTTCGTCTCACTAGCTTCCCGACGTTGTCTGGAATTTGTGATGTTAAGCTACACCGTTAAAGCCATTCCCCCCAAACAATTTACAGTTGGTGTTCTTTCTTGGGAAAAAGGGCAGGCCACACTGTCTGGTCGCGCTCCTGCACTCTGTGTCCGAGCTCTGTGTCCGGGTCATGTCCTCCTCTTGTCCTTCTCCTGCTCTTGTCCTCTTCTCTTGTCATCCTCTTGTCCTTCTCTTGTCCTCCTCTTGTCCTCCTCTTGTCCTTCTCTTGTCCTCCCCTTGTCCCCTTCGCTCCTCTTGTCCTCCTCTGGTTCTCCTCTTGTCCTTCTCTTGTCTTCCTCTGGCCATCCCTGTGTCCTTCTCTTGTTTTTCTCTTGGCCTCCTGTTATCCTCCTCTTGTCCTTCCCTGTGTCCTCCTCTCGTCCTCTGGGCACGCTGGGTTCACCAGCATTGTCGCGAAGGTTCTGACTCCGAACAGGCTTGAGCGCCGAACAACACTGATGCTCCTGGATCTTCTAGGATTTCTATATTGTCAGGATCTGATAGAAATCCTAAACCTCAGGAAGTCATAGCATATAAGGAATCCTGAGACTTGCTATGTTCCCTAGATCTTCTAGCTTTCCTAAAGCTTGTCGATTTCCTAAGCTTCTTTAGGATTCAGAGATGATTTGCAAAAACACATCTTTTTTCTAGACTTCCTAGACATTGCAAACTTCGGTGGATTCCATAGATGTCCTAAACATCCTAGGTCACAAGCTATTTGCGGCATTCACAACTTTCCCAGATTTCTCTGACATACCAGAGACCCTGGATTTCCTAGAGTTCTTAGACTTCGTAGACTTGCTAGAAATCCTAGATTAGACGCCGCGCCCCTAGACCCCCTAAGCCTGCCAGAATTCCAGGACGTCGTGGATTTCTCATATCAGGTAGATTCCTAGATGTCATCGATCCCAACACCAGATCTAGTGCAAAAGTGCTACTTCATATCCTTTTGGGCATTGAATTGAAAAAGAGAGAGAGAAAGAAAGAAAGAAAGAAAGAAAGAAAGAAAGAAAGAAAGAAAGAAAGAAAGAAAGAAAGAAAGAAAGAAAGAAAGAAAGAAAGAAAGAAAGAAAGAAAGAAAGAGAGAGAGAGAGATACAGAGTTAGTTGTGTTCTTGGCCCCCCAGGGCCCAGAAATTCCACAAGCCTATACAAATTACTTTACTTCGAGTGATCCCCACCATGACATTTCAAAACAGCTTGTTGACTCCATTTTTGTCTGAAGCTTTTGTCACGCGAGTTTTGCGTAACTAACTATCCCGATCATTTGTTTCACCTGGCAGGTCACTGTGCATGTCAGTCTGTCAAACAGTATATAAACATGTCAGTGGGCCATGTGAAGTACACTCCAGAGCTCTCAACAGGTTTGCTTAAACATGACCAAACATGGCAGTTGACATTCTATCTGACATATCTTCTGACATTCTATCTGGCATATCTTTTGACATTCTATCTGGCATATCTTCTGACATTCTATCTGGCAT